ATAAGGTGGCACAGTAGGTGGAGTGCTGGATTCCCACATGGCCAACTGCGGTTCAAGTCCCAGACCTGGACACTTGAAAATTACACTGGGTGCAGTATATTGAGTGCCAAAAATCCTGAGAGGAGAATGGAGGACAAGGGACTACGGCATGGCCATCACCTCCGGGGATGATTTCTCACTTACCTTCTCACTGTCTCTGTCTCCAGTGAGCACACATGTACTATGGAAAAAAACTTTAAAAAAGAAAAAAATGTCTACCCTACAGTTGTGCAGGAAGGCCTGAGAGCTAAGGGGACTTGAAAGTTTAACATAAATGTCTGATAATGAGTGACTACAAACATCACTTCATTTGATCTGCAAAACAGCCAAGGAGGTTCAAAGAGCACTTAATATTTTCTTCCATTTTACTGTTAAAAAAAAAAAAACTAATCATTAGAACTAGTACGCACACACAGATTCCTCCAACTCTAATATTTCTTTATTTTTAATTTTTTGAGAGTTTTTTTTTTGCTATAGGACGCATGTGCTTACAAGAAAGACAGAGAGAGACAGATAGCGAGAAACCACCCCCCCCGGGGGGGGGGTGGGCCATGCCACACGCAATCCCTTCTCCTCCATTCTCCTCTTGGGGTCTTGGGCGGGCACGCACATACACGTACCCAGCTTCAGTTTAAGCTGCTGAGCCCAGGACCTGAACCATGGTCGACCACATGGGTCGACTACAGTGACATAGCCATTATGCCAACTGCGTAATGCCATCCAACTCTAATATTTTCACTCTGTCCTTTTTTTTGTTTTGTTTTTGCCATAGAGTGTGTGTGCTCACCAGAGAGAGACAGACAGAGAGAGAAAGAGGAAAAGTTGAAAAATCATCCCCTTGGGGGATGGCCACACACATACAATCCCTTCTTCTCCATTCGCCTCCCCTCTGGGGATTTTGGGCATGCACACACACACACGCATGCCTAGTGTGATTTTCAAGCTTCCAGGTCCAAGACTCAACTATGGTCAGCCATGTGGAAGTCTAGCACCTTAACCACCACACCACCTGCTGGCCCCACCCCGCCCTTTAACATTGTTTCACAAAATGTCCAGAAAGAGCTTCCAAATTACAGTAATTTAAATGTTTTATACTTTAAAAACTAAGGCATTCATTCAAACATGCCGTGGCTATGTGCCCTGTAGAGGGCAGACTGTGTACTTCCTGGGTAATTCTGTATAAACTATATTTTTCTTTCTCTTTCAACCACGACCAAGGAAAATATTAACTCCTTTTAGAAAATGCTGACCAGTCTGTGACGTGGTTCTTAAGGCAGCTGGAGCCCACATGGCTGACTCCACAGTTCCAGTTCACAGTTGAGAAACAGACTGGGCACATATGCATGTGTACCCAACATCCTGAAAAGGGAGGTGGAAGACAAGGGGCTGTGGTATGACCATCCTCCATGGAGGGGAGGTGCTTTCTCACTTTCTCTCACTCGCTCCCTCCACAAGTGCATACACTCTCTGGCAAGTTTGAAAAAGAAAAGAAAAGAAAGAAACTGGATACAGTGTATTTGATACTTACCTGGGAAAAAGGGAAAGGGGGGGTCGGGAACAGATCCTATAATCTGGTAGTTAAGGAAGCAAGATCCAAATAGCCAAATGTACAGTCTGAGTGCCAGCCCAGTGGCTTGAAAAACACACCAGCCACATATGTGTGTACCCCAAATCCAAACAAGATGGAGAAATGGAGAAGGGATCATGATGTAACCATTCCCCATGATGGGTGATTTTTCACTTTCCCTCTCTGCTTCTCTCTGGCAAATATGCATACCCCTTGGCAAAAAAAAAAAAAGACTTTTCCAATAACCCAATAGTATGTACGATCTGATCCCATATTGGTAAAAATAGATACACACGCAAGTACACATAAACACATATGCATACACATACTCATATGTTGGGGGGGGCTGTTTTCATTTGTGTACTTCCCTCACCCCATTGTAAATTTATTTTTTATAATGATCGGTGCTACTTCTACAACAGAGCCTAAAAAAGTTATAATTTTACTAAGATGGTTTACTAACCTAATAGTAGGCCTATTCAAACATTCTGATAGTACCAAACCCATCTAAGAATTGGGAATTCTACTAAATAGCATAATTTAAGCAGAAATAATGCCATTTTGCACCCATATAGTACTCTACAAAGTGACTTCACAATCCTATGAGATGGGGCCTATCACCTCACTCTGAAATGAGGAACCTCAAGCTTGAGGAGTCCAAGACTCACCTGGCCAGTCCCCACAGCCTATACTCTTGGCAGAGAACAACCTTACTCAGGGTGCTCACCAAGGACTCTTTCTTAGCCTGTTTCTTTGGTTTTTTTTTTAAGAGATATTTTTTGCTATAGGGCACATGTGCTCACCAAAGAGACAGAGAGAAAGAGAGAAGCCCCCCTCCCCCCCAGATAGGATGGCCACACCTCAATCCCTTCTTCTCCCGTTTCCTCTTGGGATTTTGGGCACACATGCACACATGCCTGGCATGAGTTTTAAGCTGCCAGGTCTGGGACTCAAACCACAGTCAACTATGTGGGAGTTCAGCAATGTAACCATTATGCCATCTGCAGGTTCTATCTTGATCCTCTTTTCTTTTCTTTCTTTCTTTGTTTTTAATTTATTTTTTTCTTTTTAGAGGTCTTTGCTATAGGGCACGTATGCTCGCCAGAAAGACAGAGAGAGACAAAGAGACAGAAAGCAAGAAATCACCCCTCAGGGGGGATGGCCATCCCGCAATCCCTTCTCCTCCATTCTCCTCTCAAAATCTTGGGCATGGGAACCAGCAGTTAGCGTAATGGCTATGTCACTGGACTCCCACGTAGTCGACCACAGTTCACGTCCCAGACCCGGTGGCTTAAAACTCACGCCGGGCGCATGTGCGTGCGTGCCCAAGATCCTGAGAGGAGAATGGAGGAGAAGGGATTGCGGCGTGACCATCCCCCCTGGGGGGTGATTTCTCGCTTTCTGTCTCTCTGTCTCTCTCTGTCTGTCTGGCGAGTACACGTGCCCTGTAGCGAAAACCTCTCCAAAAAAAAAAAAAAAAATCTTGGGTACATGTGCACACGCACCGGGCATGAGTTTAAGTCACCAGGTCTAGGACTCAAACCACAGTTGACTAAATAGGAGCCCAGTGACATAGCCAGTACACCAACTGCTGGTCCCTTCCCTCTTTTCTAAAGGGGCTACCCTAGCCAGGTTTAGGGTGCTCTACAGTCACGGGAGATACTACTGACCACAAAAAATCATTAGCATTACGTCACATTCCCAAACCTCAGAAATAGGTTAAGATTTGTAAAGTGGTTGGAATATTTTAAAGAAATGCTCAAGAGTATTTTTTCCCAAAACATATTTAATTTACTATACTAAAAACTTGACTAAAAAATATAAATGTTGATAAATACTATATAAACAGGCAACATATGAAAAGCCAGATTAAACGCTCTGTCACTGTCTAAAACTAAATAATTTAACACATAGTTTAGCTACTGGTTTAATGTAGTATAAAGACATATTAAATGAAAACCAAACAACCACTTTGGAAAGCAAAGTAATTATAATTCACTGAGAATGAAGTTCACAAGATTGTATCTGTCATCTCACTCCCCCCTACAAAACACAATCTAACCCAGACTCTACATAAAAACTATTCAAGCTAGTAGCTACTGAATAAAGATTCTAAATTTTATTATTAAATTTTCCTGGGAAGAAACTTCAAAGGAGTCTTTTGGAATTTTCCACAAATTTAACACACCAAAAGACGCCTTTAATATTTTAAAATAAATAGCTCAGGAAACAATTATATCATGGTTAAAAACCTCACAGCAAATTGCAAAACTTAAGTACTCAAAAAGAGATTCTATCTTCAGTATCAAAGGACCCTGTAACTTCAACATACAAGTAAATGTCTTGAATAGCACATTTCAAAAGTCTTTTCATAAAAATTTCCTTTGGCCTGGGATAATTTTTAAACAATAAATAACAGAAGAGTGAGTCTTAAAGGGAAGCAAAACATTTAATGAAAACTTTCCTTCAGGTCTAACTGGTAGAATGCCTTAAAAAATACTTAGTTTTTAAATCTACGTTGATGAAAAAGACCCCATGTAGACCACCAGTCCTACTGGAAATGCTACTAAAAGGATTTTTTAAAAAAAATAGTTGTATGTATTTGTGGGGTACGGCGTGATTTTTCAATACACGCACAATGTGTAATGATCTAATCGGGGCAATAAACATACATCTCAAACATTTAACCTCATTTTCTGTTGTGAATATTCGAAATGCTCTCTTCTAGCTATTTTTAAATATACATTAAACTATTATCAACTATAGTTACTCTACTGTGTTTCCGTATTCTGAAATTCATTCCTTTAACCTAACCACATCTTGAATCTGTCCTCTACCCCACGCTCCCCTTCCCGGATTCTGGCATTCAATATTCCTCTTTCCACCTCTGTATGATCAACTCTTTACATGTGAGATTGGTCTTTTAATGCCTGGCTTAATTCACTTACCATAAACATAACATATTTACAAAATGTGAGCTGTACTGCCCTACTTTTCAACACCACCTAACCTTCAGATTGCACAACTTTCACTTGCTTAAGAAAAGCAGCTTCATTTTGCAGCAACATTTTCAAAATGCTTATTCATTTGAAATGTGGCGATTCACAAAATAAGGTACACAGTTTTAAAAATAAAAAGGAAGACTCCTTTATGGCCGACTTGTATTTTGGAAAACTGTGCTCCACAGAAGCTTACAAAATATTTTGAAATTATGAACCAACAAAACCCACTACAGAATTAATCACCTGGACTCCTGCTCGGTGCCGTCTTCACAATCTCACTTCTCGAGGACCACTCTCTGACCCCTCAGGCATGAGACATGAAGAGAAACCGACATCGGTAAACCTGGTCTAAGCCCCTCTTGGCTTTTTAGCCCATATACTGTTGTACTGACCTGACTGGAACTCATTTCCTGGGCTCCGTTCAAAACCCTCTGTGGAATTTCTCCCTCTTCTGATGGAGAAGAGCCTTCCTCCGGCAAAAACACTGGCCTGGCTGAGCCCTTGTCCCCAGGATTCTTCCTGAAGGACCAGCACTTATGGACTGACAGCAGAGTCACACGTGGGTCACTTAAAGTTGCCAGAAAGGACTGCTCAGAGTTCTGGGGCACCTCGCCCCTGGCTTTCTCCATCGCTGCGTCCAAAGCACTAAGTCGGTCACCTTCACCAGACTATCTGGTCGTGTTAGAAGGAAATGTTTTTAAAGTGTCCTGCGAATTAATTAGCAGGGAGGAAGGCACTCTCCTGCTCCTGAGCTGGCTTCCGAGAGGCTGCCTGCTGAGTCTTGGGTCTGGCAGCAAGCTTCAGGAACTCGAGCAGGCTGCGCACCACTGTGTACCTATTTGCTTTTTGTTTATCTACACCATTCCACCAATTGGCACCCTCTCCCTCAGTACACTGCATGCAGCACTGTGGATCTCTGCACACGGCCCACACACCCTTACCCGCACGCCCCGGACACTGGCCAGTGTGTCCCAGAGCCCAGCACATAATCACCTCCCAAAGCTAGGCAGCTTCCTTTTGGCTATATGCACCCCTAGAAATCCTGCCTAGAGACAAAGGAGATATGCCACTTCCTTTTATTACCAAACTATGAGCATTTTCCTGGAATAACTTCAGCTGCCTTTTCCATAGCTCCATTGCTGGCGGGTAGCAGAGTACTCGGTGAGGGAAGTATTTCCCAGGCAACATGACTTGCATTTTCAAGAAGGTGTAAGAAAGTTCCATGACTCCTGCAGCTTTGTTTTCCCTTGGACTAAAAACTTGACTTCAGTAAGGACAGATGCACAAATTCACTGGCTACCGAGGCTCGTCCGTTCTTTATATGTGGCACAACAGCCAGCAACTAGCACACAATTCAGACTTCTCAGGCTACCTGCTGTTCCCATGAGGATTAACAGAAAGAGACACACGACAGTGTGGTAATCCGGGCAGGCGCCTGCTCTGTCGGACAGCGCTGCCTCCCTCCCACCCCCCACCCCACCTCATCCACTCAGAGATCTGAAAAGAGGTGACCTTATTCTCCATGGGAGTCACAGCTCTGCCAGCCACTAATCCTGGCACACACCCACTGCAAATGCCTATGGGTGGTTCATACCTGAGACAGAGTTGAGTCAGGCAGTAAACGGGCACTCTGTCCCTCTGCATTCCTCTCTCCAGTTGAAGGTACCACCAGAGACACCGGAGTGTACACTCAATGAGAAATTCAGAACACATGCCCTTCTACTCAGGGTTCTGCTTCCCTATGGGCTGCCCAAAATAACCCTTCTTCCCCCCATTAAAACTGTCATCACTGCCCCCCAAAGTTTTGACTAGGAGATCTGGTCTCCTTGAGGAAAGGAAGCCTTGCCATTTGTCCATTCACCAAAGGCCCTTCACAACTCCATGATTCTGCTGTGTCTCATGTGCCTCTGTGGCGATGTAAAGACGTATTTGCTCGGCCTTCTGAAGTACACTTGGGGCCAACCCCTTCAGAATGTGTCTGGGTTTACTTCTCTGAGGAGTGCACCACCAAAATCAGAACCTGCCTCAATGTCCAAGAAATGCCATTCGAACTAGTGACCTAATGAAGGCATTTCCTGGTTTAAAGTTTATTTCTCTGACTAAGAGGGAGACAGAGACAGACAGGAAAGGCAGGAAGTCCAGGCTGTCCTGTGGATGGCGGAGAATCACCAGTTCTTAAGCACAAGACTTACAAGATTATATTTATAATCTAGAAATGCAGTTTGAGCAGGAAT